GCAGAAAATCCCCAGAGCAATGAAGGAAACCCCTTTTGGCTATCTCCTCGGAGGGACTATCAAAAAACGCCCCACAATCGGCACCATCTCCTTATCGCAACTAATTCCTTAGGTCTGGGTAGCGCTAGATTCCTCTGGCATGCGTGTGTCCAACAAACACAACACTGTGCGCTCTTGGCTGTGGTGCGTCCTCTTCCGTCGGCCGCTGGTTGCCTCCCTTTCCCCCCTCTCCTGATATCGCTCTCTGCTGGATTTTAGGGGCTAAATAAAAACAGACCAACAGCGGGAGTTTCGTGGATGCTCTCCGTCGGAACGTGATATCTCCACTCGTGTAACTGCCACCATCTTCGCCGTGACTGGGTCGGAAATCCTCCCCCAGCTGTTGTGGCGGCGAGGGTTGGTGTGACCAGCCTGTCAAGCGAACCACGGTTTAAAAAAAAAAAATCGGTTTCCGGTGTTGCCTTGCAAGCAAGGACGGCCAATAAACAGGATTAGTCAGTTAAATATTTTAATTTGGACTTGTTCAGGACGGTGGTTCTGAAAAAAGGCTACAGAACACAGGACAGCTCACGGAGGACACGCCTTGTCTTTTGTCGGTTAAAGAAGCACTATTCCAAATAATTCAGTCAGTCGTGATAGTTGACGGTAACGTTAGTTAGCCAACGTTAGCTCATGACAGTTGACGTTGCGCACAAACTTCTTGGTGAAGTTGTGTCACAGCCAGCCATGCATTTCTGGGACGATGGAAGAAATGGCTCTACAGCTAATAGAAGGCTGAACCTCCGTGCATAGACGGTATGAACTGTTAACTGCACGTGAACCCTGCACCATAGAAGGCAGCCGAACTACGCTGTGCATTTCACAAACTCGCAGCCAAGTGAAACGCCATTTAACGCCTTTAATTTGAAGGCAGACCGAGCTCCGGTGATTTACCGCCCCGGTTGTCTGTCTGACTTGACGGTCGGTGGTGTGTAACCGTCCAGACTGGAGCTTGATGTGAATATCTGCCATTACTGTCTCACCACTGATGTCTTCACTCCCTTCACACTCAACTAATACTGAGTCAAGTAGTTATGCTCATAAGCAACGTTAATTACAGCGTTGTCAACATGGTTTGACTTTTAAATCATTCCTCGCACCTGCATCATTACACACTCAAGTGCAATGTTTTCAGGTGGAACACTGCCTTGAACATGACACTAACATTGGTTATTCTCAAGATATTAATTCACAGATCCCAGTCGTTCCTAATTAGCCTCCTGTAATGACACACTGATTCACAGGGAGTGTGTTAAGTTCAGTGTGGCCTATTGACTACTAACCCATACCACACGTTTAAGCAGTGTGGACCTCTTACTTTAATATAAGTGCCTCTAATAAATATGTGTTTGTCTTAAAGCAGTGAAGTATGGCACATGACATTGCACTGTATTCCTGTTATGTAGCCTTTCAAGACATGTACGTGGACTTTAAACTAAAACATGACATGAATTACTCATGAAAGCTCATTGACAATGTTCACCATTTAAAAAAAATACTATATTGCCAATGCCTGAAGGCAGTAACTCTATTCTACTATTGATCTGTCACTTTTCCATGATTACACCTCCCAAAATTGGCTACGAGCCTTAACGAGAGAAGCAGAATTAGTTGTCAATATGTCTTTCTTTCTTTTTTTTGTCCTCTTTAATTTGTCTCCAATAAAAGCACTCTGTTGTATTTGTTGTACTTCTTTATCTCAGATAAACACAAAAACCCTTTCAAACCGGTACAAATATCAAGCAGCAATCATGTTATTGTGGAAAACATTTCACAGGAAATGTGATCTATTGAGAAAAAACAAAAGCTGGAGTTTATTTTTTTACTATTCACGACTATTTAATTTCCTATATTATTTTACTATAGTAATATGATTCACTTTATAAAGATGCATTCATTTGTTGCACCATAATAACAATAACCATAACATCTCTTCGCATTTCATATTTTCTGGGGGTGTTTCTAGGAGTTAGGGTTAGTAGTTTTTAAAGGGGCTCAAAACTACACACAGATTTCACAGAATGTAGAGAAATAAAGAGGTATGAAAGGAGCTTGTCAGTTGGCAAACGTTTAATTTTGAAGGCCAAATATATTGAAGGAAGACATACTATGAGGAAGAAAGGAGGCTGGTTTACTGTTACACAATACGTGTCATTGTTGTCATTTATGTCTCTATGGCTATCAAACATCCAAGGCGGTATGCATGAATGGCCACTATACTGCCGTCTCCATGGACCACACTGTATTTTCAGCTGGTGATATTGTAGTGAGATGAGATTGTGAATAGCAATGAATAAGAATATATGTGTGTCCTCTGCCTTTGAACAAGCCGTCATGTTTAAACTTTGAATCCAATAAAGCAATAAGCCTCTATGCACCATTCAAGTGAGTGTGAGTGTGTGTGTGTGTGTGTGTGTGTGTACGTGGCATGAGGGTGGCGTGTGTGCGTGCTTATGCTCGAGAGCTTACAAGTGGTCTGTTTGAAGAGTTGATAAAGCTGCACTGATAAGTCTGTGTTAATATTGTTCCTTAAACCTGTGAGCGCTGCCTGTCAACTCAGCAAACAGATAATAAACGGATTATTACCTCCATATTTATACGTTTAGCACTTATTACATATGCACGGGTGTGTTCATGCCCTGTGTCACGGGACACAAATGCACTTGTTGCCTTGGAGCTCAGGGTCAGCAGCAGGACGGCTGCAGATTTATAAAAGTATTTAAAAGAAGCACCAGTGAGAAGACGAGCTGCCAGAGAATATGATGACAAATAGGCTTAACTCAGTTCATATTAAACGTCGGGGCTTGTTTTCTTGAATGGGTTCTACTTTAGAAAAGCTCACGTGCAGTATTACGAGCAGTATTTTTTTGTTAATGCTCAAAGACCACTTTGATCGAGACTGAAATCGTTCAACAGCTACAGAATGTCCTTCATGTGCCCAGAGGATGAATCCTAATGACTTTGGTGATCCTCTGAATTTTGCTCTAGAGCCACCACGAGGTTTACATTTTTGGGTTGGAGTGAGATATGTAAAAAAAATCTCCAATACTTAGTTTTACAACCAATTACCTGCAACGGCTAATGGCATTCCCATCAGCCCCGGCTGCACTTGGTGTTTCGTCATACTTAGCAATAATTAGCCAACACGCTAAACTAACACGATAAACACTATAGCTTGTTGACATCAGCATGTTCACATGGTCATTGTTAGCATGCTGACCATAACATTTAGTTCAAAGCACCACTGTGCCCGAGTACAACCTCAAACAGGTAACTGCCATATTGTGGCCTTCAAGTGCTCGACCAGATGTCACACTCTTTGGACAACGATCCATCCAGACATTATCTAGACCCACTGAGGGAAACTGAATGAATGGAAAGAGACAGGATGTCAGATTATTTACAAATACTTCAGTTATTATTTGTGTTGGAGTATTTATGTCACTGTACACTGACAGTTCTGAGAGAGGAAATGTTTTCAGAAGAGTTTCATGAATGTAGCTGTTCTGGAATCTATTCATAATATATTCTGGTTGACAAAAACACTATCTATCATGGTGGTGCACAACATTGTTGCTCTAGTGTTGTGTCACTGTGTTGTTGCATGCAAACAGCTTTACGCAGTTTATTTACATGTATAATGTCATTGGTTTCTACCGTCTACAGAATGCCATGGACTGCCTGATACTGTACTAAAAGGATAATATTGAGTATATATTTTAAAACTTAAAAGTACGGCATTGTAATCATGTGACCAAGACAAAACCTATTTTCAACCTAAAAATACTGAGCTTCATCATTGCTGTGTGTCACAATCATATATCAGATGCTATTGGCCCAAAGCTGACGTGGGTGGGAGTAATGGACACAATATGCTTGTTGTATTGCCGCAAATGGTCCCCATCTGTAGATTTAAACTTTTCAATGATACAGCACAATTTATTCATTTATAGCAAATTATTACGCTGACCCCCCCCGACAGTGCTACAGACCCCTGGGGGGGCACATGGACCCCACTTTGAGAATCACTGCTTTAAAGTAGACTTGAATGAGTCCCAGTTGAGTTGGTTGCTGGGTATCTGATTGATATTGAATCGGTCCAAAGAGTGCTAATGTTATGTTATGTTAATGATTTATTTTTTCTCTTGCAGGAAATGGTCTCCTGTTTTCTCCTTTACTTTGCATTACAAATAAAACTGATGAAAAGAAAACAAAGCTTCCCTTTTCCTTGCACTCTATGTAGTCCATCTGACTGAAACATAACTGAGGCGCCTCCTGGTGGCTGTTTTCAGTCACTGCAGGGGATAACTAACCTGCTATCGCATAGCAGCATGTGTATTGTTAATGGGTTGTTGGGCTGATGCTTGCTCATCCAGCTGTTACACATTTAATCATGTTCCTCATTCATGCAATGCTGTTATGTGTGAACAAATTAGTCTGCACATTTTTATTCTGAAGGTGCAGTTTCTCCAATCCAGAGCAGTGTGTTGTGAGGATGAGAGCTCGTGCTTTTAGCTTGCATTTGGCCCATCTTTTCCAAATCCCCTGAACAACTAAATATCAATTATGTATTGTGTCAGGGGAAAACACTTAATCTGTAATGTCTTTGTATCCATAAAAAGGAAACCAAGCCTGCAGAATTTCATTTAGTTGTTTATTTAAAAGAAATCACTCAAAAGAATGACAAATACAGACGAACCTAAAGGAACAATGACAAGATTGACTTTTTAAAGGAAATGCAGCCGCTTTGCGGTAAGACGGGCAACGGTTCAGAGGGCTGAGAAGGCCGCGTTGGCATTAAATACAAGCTTACATGAACAGGAAGCTACGATTAAATGATGTTGTTATATTCAGTCAAATCAGTCCCAGTGCAGCACTGAGACATTTTGAAATAAAATGTGCTTCTATAATGAATGTCTATAGTACAACAGAGAAGAGAGGACAGTACAGTGTCCAGCAGTGCAGCACAGTACAGTACAGCGACTAAACATGGTTGAATCCCTGCTCAATGAAAACACTACGGGAAAACCCTTTTTCTTTATTTGGTTGTGCCACCTTTGAAAATAAGCGTCCTGACACAATAACAACAACATGCACTGGTTTTACTGTAAAAACACAGCACAGCAGTTTGGAGAGTGGCAGCGTTTACTGTCTAACTACACGACATCGGAGGAGTACGATCGCTGCCAGCATCTTTCTCTGAAGCAGAAAAACTTGAATAAATAATGTACAAACTTGAACACAGTGAGAAACCAGAAAACATTCATTAACATGGAAGGTTACATAGGAGAGAGACATCTTGGATTTCTCCTGTTGTATGTTTCTCTTGCAGACAGCAATGGCTTCAGATGGAAAGTTGACTTCAAGCCTCTTTTGCTACATTCTTTTTCCTACTAAACCATAGTAAAAAAAACAACAAGTAGATACCAGAAGGGTGTCTTATAGGACAATGTGTACCAGAGAATCGTTGCAAAACTAACCCAGGTCTGCTCAGTACATCTTTGCACATGTTCCACTCTCTTTTCCCTGCTCAGTGTCTCCATACCCAGTTCTGAAAATCACAGCGGTGAGGATTGTTACAGGAAACCCTCTGGTTGCTGCCGCCATCTGCCTCCTCTGTTCCATCTCCTGCAACCCCTCGACTTCCATCCGTCTCACTGCTTCCTCCAGCGATTCTTGGGTTTCTCCTCACACCCGGGACCCTCACAGGTGCCGGGGAGCAGAGGCGGAGGTGAGGGTGCGGCATTCGCTGGTGCGGGCGTGTCTGCGGCCTTGCCGACGCTGCTGAGCAGAGCCGGGAGCTCGTACGAGATGGCCCTCTCCATCTTCTCTAGTAGACAGCCGCCGGTCCAGCTGCAGTGGGAGGAGAGCTGCTTGAAGCTGGAAACCGGGTTCACGCCGAAGAAATCCTGGTAGGCTTCCTTGTTGGGCAGGTCAAACTTGCTCACGTTGGTTTTGGCCAGAATGGATTTGAAGATATAGTACTTGTCCGGGTCATTGACAATGTCTTGGAACACCTCGTGGGGGTCGCTAAACCAGCCCAGCTTGTCGGAGTAGGTCTGGAGGTAACGGTCAACCAGCAGGGCGTGGATGCGCACACGGATGCCATGCTGGCGGATGAATGCGATCTTGTTCTCCATTTGATTCTCAATCACCTGCAGAAGAGGACAGAGACAGAAATGAGAAGAGATATATAAGTCACAATGTGTAATGTAAGTGTTTTGTGAGTTTTAGCCATAATTCTTTTTAATTAGTATCAAATAAAACGTTACCTCAGAGACCTCATAAGTGTGCTGAACTCTTTAAAATGTGGTCATGTAGCTGGTGTTTAAAGGAATCATATTGTCAAAAAAAATAAATGAAGAATAATCATATCATGCCTGGTTGAGGTCCTCCAGCAGAGAGGTCTCCTCCTTCATGAACAGCTCTCGGCTGGTGTCTGCAGCATAGTCCTGAGGCCAGAAGGAGCTGACGTACACCCGAGGGGGCTCTGTGACTTTCATCAGGGGCGCCATGCTCCAGAACAGGGCCCCGTAGACCCTCATCAGGTTCTGGGTGGAAAGGCTGTCGGCCTTGTTGAGGATGAGGCGAATCTGGGACTCGCGGCCCTTCATCTGCCTGAAGAGCATCTCCAGCTCCCCGCCCACGTCCAGCTTGGTGGGGTCGAACACCTGGAAGATCAGATCTGCTCGATCAATGAACCACTGGCACACCTCGTTGTAGGGGTAACCTGAGGAAGAGGAGAGACGAGACACGATACATGAGGTGTTTGTGTTTGTGTGTGTGTTGTATTGATACTGTGTGTCACGGTAATCACCGCCTACTGTCGGTTTGATGTTGCATATTTTGTTGTAGTAAGTCTACAAGTCTAATGGTTGTCTGTGGCTTTGATGTAAAAACATTATTAAGTAATGGCCACTCACCTCTCTCCTGCTGCTTGCGGTTTTCAATGATGCCGGGCGTGTCGACGAAGGTGACCCTCTCCAGCAGCTTGTGGGGCATCTCGATGCCCACCAGCCGCTCCAGGAAGCCTTGGCCAAACTTCTCCAGGGGAGAGAAGGACCGTGAGCTGTCTGCTGCCATGACAATGCCCTCAATGGTCCGAGACTTCTCACCGTTCATTATGACTGTGTACTCTGAGGTGGTGGGCTCAGCACCTGGTGGAGGGATGAAGCGGGGATGATTTAACACCAGCTGCACTGGAGGGTGAAGCTTATTTATTGGTTGTTTGTTGGTTCATTTTTAGCTGATATGTTCAGAGATAGGCAAGATATATGTAATACATTCATATATTCATGAATCTTCCTCACTACTCTGGTCGACTCTTGTTAAAATAGGACAATAGGTTTTATCATTGTGAACCTGTGTACAGTTCCTGTGAGGTGCCGTGAAGTCCCAGCAGGTAGTTGATCATGGAGGACTTGCCGACGCTCCATGGTCCCAGGAACAGAACCATGGGCTTAGAGGTGATCTCGCCATCTAAAGTTTTTGTTAAAGACATGCGCATAAAGAAAAGTTTTGAGAGAGAAAGAATGAAAATACATTTTGCTTTAGAAAATTAATTAAGCTGCAGTTTATCTCGGGTTAATTCAGAATACTACTCTGCATGAACGTTCTTGGTCCTCTCACATTCAACGTGTTGCGATCGCCCCTTATTGTCTTGTGTCATCTTGGTGTTAAAATGTACACAAGCACACAGAAAATACCCAAATCAAATGGGCCGACTGAACAGAAATGTCCTTCACACATGAGTTACAGTCCGGTACAAGTCTTTCCATTCTGCACCACAAGGGGTCCCAGAGTCACATGCCCCAGTTTGAAGACTTCATCCTGCTCCTTAGCATAAATAATACCTCCCTGCCCTCAAGTGCAATGGAACAAAGTTGTAGGGAGTCTGGCCCACACAATGTTCCCTTTACTTTTCAGCAGACAGAGTCCTTATTGTGCTTCTCTGTGCGCCTGGTTTGAATAATGTCAGGTCCTGGCTCTATTTCTTCTTAATCATGACTTTATTTGTGCTCCACTGTTCACTGGATAGTAATGTTGGCTAAATTCCGTTTTCTTTTTACATGAATGCTTTGCCCATGTGGGCCTGTAAATCCTTGACAGGTTAGGGACCCTAACCCAGTATAATATTTAGATTAGATACTGATGAGCAGCCCATTCGCCATTTACTACGGTCAATATTTCTCATTGCATGCTGTTTAATTCAGAGGTAATCTCAAGAAGGAAGCTGGTTTACCTGTGACTTCATGCTGCCTGAGCTCGTTGTACTTGTAGGCTTGCTCCATTGGCTTGATGGCAGTGTGGTAGATGTTCAGCAGCTTCTTCATAGCAGCTAGTGTTGGATGTATTCATTGGGATGTAATGGCGAGAAGACATGTTGGACAAGATTATTATTAATGCTCTTATACCATTACTGATTACAACAGTTCCCTTGGCAGTGCATGATGAATTGCCCTCATAAAGTTGATTAAATCGAGCTGAGGTGATTAGAAGACTTTGAAATGAACCAGTCTTCTTTGGGAGAACAGAGAGGCTTTCATGGCCGAGGACAGTTACACATTCGCACTGATTAATCACCTGCCTCAAGACGTGTCTGCACGCTCACACGCATACACACACACATGCATACAGTACACACACTCACTCACACACACAACAGCCCCAGGACTTAGACATCATGAAGCAATTTTCAGAATAGTTTCGGCAGAAAATCCCCCCAAATTGTCTCGAACTTCCTTTCATTCTCATGCAAACACATCTGCTTTTCTTTTCCATTGACGATGTTGCTGTAAACAATCTTCACTTCAATACTGAACTACAGGCGTTTCCACAGCCACAGTCTGAAAGATATTTGAAACGGTGGGCAGCACAGCAGTGTTTGTCAGCGAGCATCCTATTTTTGATCAGCAGGATGTGGTTTTCCCTTTGTGCATGTGCAATATGCGTATGCATGAGTGTTTGGATGTATATATTTGTGCTGGTGGGAGAGAGGTGCTTTATGCCCTTTCACTGCATTTCAAGCAAAGAAATTCAAAACCACATGTCTTATGTCAACAACTTTCAGATGTCTTTGTTCCTCACCTGAGAGCTCTGTCGAGGGTTCAGTAGTACCCAATCGCAGCGTGTTCTCAATGTGGGTGCGGTCCCTCGGTGTGCGCCCTGCTGCCTGATGTTCTGATTGGAGGATCAGAGAGTTAAGTCAACTGGTAAGGTCAACATGCATTTACCTGTGACAGGAAGTAGTAATGCTTAGTCAGACAGAGAAGGCCTGGAACACAATTTTATTGTTTTCTGCAAAGCTACATCCATGAAATGAACCACTCCTTTCAGCCAATTATTAAAAACTCAGCCGACATGGTTTCAAAATAAAAGTGCTCCTCCAGGTAAATGGTGTCCTGAGTTGTGAGTGACAAGACCATCTGGGGGAGAGTACAGGCCCAACTGTTATATCATGTTGTTGTCCATCGATTCCTTTCCTCTGCTATTTTGGTTTGTTTATTTCTGTACCAGAGGTTGTTGCTAATTCCCCTTTAGCTACACACTGTGTCACATTCAGGGGGCTTTGCATGCCTCGGAGAGAAGGATAGAGACCTTTGCTGTCATTTCACAGCCCATCTCAGCTAAACGTCCCGTCACACAAGAATCTGAATTTGCTACCACTTTATAACAAAGCATACTTTCTACAGAGCTTCATATATGTGTATGACATTTTTTAAAGTCAATAATCAACCATTTGTACGGACAACTTTTGCGTTGACAGGTTGTGAAAAATCCCTTTGGCTGTTGTTAATCCTCTTTTAAATAAGTTATTAATAAATACATTTTAGTCCGGATGTCCGGAAGCTCATTTCCAGAGGGTGAGTGGTCTTAAAAGGGGTTTTCAAGCTAAATTAAAGTACTATCTTAAAAGACAAAGAAAGTTGTGCTCTCGGGATAAACACCAGCCACGAAGGGGTTGCACAATGTGACAACGCAAAAGCTGTCCTCAGTGGCCTTTTATTGCTTCTTAAAATGTATCAACCATTGATAAAGCCATTAATTACAACTTAAACACATCTGATAAAGTGTGCCTGATCAGAGAGTATAGTTACAAATCCTCAAATAACAGGTACGTTGATGCAAAGTTTCCAAATTCTTTTGAAATTCATGAATTTTACGTTTCTTTTTTACTGACTCTTTTTTCTGAGCTTGTTTTTCTCAAATTTTTGTGATCTGCTGTTTTTCCTCTTTAGGGTTAAGATTACTTGGTATATTCCATTTCCTTTTATTGTTAAATAATTTCTATCTCTGCGTAAATGATTTGTAGTAAATAATTCACACCATAACAGTTTTCAAAATATTTAGATTCGTCATCTCACACTCTCAGGATAAAGTGACAAAAACAAAAGATTGTAACAGTAATCGTGTCAGAAACGTATCGCAGGCTTTGTTAAAATCAATTACTGTGGATATCTATCTATCTAGTTCAAAGAGATAACACACGTTACATAAAACCACTTCCAATGACACTCGCACAAGTGTAATGAATGAAGTGATGAAGTGGGATCAGAGTAATAGATGGGGATCTCTTTTAAGACTCAGCCGTCATCTTTTATAGCACGTGTCAACACCCAGACGTCAGATAATGGCTTCCTTAATTACAGAAACAGCGACTGGATGGGCACAGATTTACTGTAACGGGATCCCTGCTGCTCTACTTGTTGCTGCTCGGACTGTTACCTTCTGACACAGCTTCTCTATTGAGGTGAAAGGAGAGTTACACTTCTGACATACTACAAACAGATGGTGTTATCTTTTTGTACCTTTGGTTTTTGACGGTGCAGGCTCCTCTGAAGACACCTCCTCCACTGTCACCTCCTCGTCATCGACAGGTGCCTCCTCCACCATCGCCTCCTCAATGACCGGTTCCCCTTCCACAGTCGCATCCTCTGCAGATTCTGGTGCGACCTCCTCCACAACAGGCTCTAGCACCACTGCGGGCTCTGGCTCTGCAACTACCTCAATCTCAGGCTCTGAAATCACCTCTGGTTCTGGTTCAGGCTCAGGAATCACCTCTGGCTCTGGTTCAGGCTCAGGAATCACTTCTGGTTCAGGCTCTGAAATCACCTCTGGCTCTGGTTCAGGCTCAGTAATCACTTCTGGTTCTGGTTCAGGTTCTGAAATCACCTCTGGCTCTGGTTCAGGCTCAGGAATCACTTCTGGTTCAGGCTCTGAAATCACCTCTGGCTCTGGTTCAGGCTCAGGAATCACTTCTGGCTCTGGCTCAGGCTCTGAAATCACTTCTGGTTCTGGTTCTGGTTCAGGCTCTGAAATCACCTTTGGCTCTGGTTCAGGCTCTGAAATCACCTCTGGTTCTGGTTCAGGCTCTGCAACCACCTCAATCTCAGGCTCTGAAATCACCTCTGGTTCTGAAATGACTTCAGGTTCTGGCTCTGCAACCACCTCAATCTCAGGCTCTGAAATCACCTCTGGTTCTGAAATGACTTCAGGTTCTGGCTCTGCAGACACTTCGGTCTCAGGCTCTTCAGTCACCTCTGGTTCTGGTTCAGATTCTGCCATCGCTTCAGACTCTGTTTCCTCAGATTCAGAGTCTGTTTGAGGAACCTCAACTGGTTCTGCTTCTGGTTCCAGTGCAACCTCTTCCTCAGCAGCTTCCTCCTCTACAGCCTCGTGTATGGAGGTTTCCACACCGTCCTCAGCGGCTGCCTCTGTATCCTCCTGTGTCTCTTCAACTTCTGGTTCCTCAACTGCTTCTTCTTCAGCAGCAGCTTCTTTCGCCTCTGCAACTTCCTCCTGAGGTTCATTCACTTCTTCCTCCTCGTTGGATAATTCTTCCTCTGCTTCTTCCTCGATTTTCTCCTCCTCTTCCTCAACCACAGCTACTTCCTCCTCTTCAGATGATGCAAACTCCTCAGATACTGCCTCCTCTTCCACACTTTGATCCTCAGCCTTCTCCTCAGATGTCTCCTCTTCTTCTACCTCTTCCTGAGACGCAGCCTCTTCCTCTCCATCGCCTGTAATCTCCTCAGTGGAAGCATCGCCCTCCACAGAAGCTGCCTCGTCCTCCTCTTCTTCATGCTCCGAGGTCGAAGCTGAATCTTCTTGAGTATCTACAGCTGATGGAGGTTTGCAGGGCTGGCATATGGCCCTCTCCGGGGCCGGGGTGTCGTTGGAGGAGCTCTGGCTGGCGGGCTCCTCTGTTGTGTCACATCCACAGGAGAAGAGATCTCCCTCTGGCTGCTGGAGCTGCAGACGCACCAGGGGATCCTCATCGTGGATGGAGGGCCCCGTCAGAAGATCTAAGAAGAGGAAATAAGTGATTAGAAGGAGAACTCTGGTCTGGTGTCTCTTTCCAAAAACATTTTGAATGGGTGAGCTTTTGATCAGCACCAAGGCAAATAGTGCTTCAATTAAAAATGTAGAATTCATCCCTGATCAGAGTCCTGATCGTCATTTACTTTTAAACGGAAGATGTTCAGAAATAAACTGACCAATCAGACTGCACTATCTAGCAGGACCTCTGCAGACCAGTCACCTTTGTCTGCTACATCAGTGTTTGACCAGTGCTCAGTCACTGTGCAAGAACAGAGCAGATCAGATGTTCAGCACCTCACAGATTTACAGTGGGTACGGAAAGTATTCAGACCCCTTTAAATTTTTCACTCTTTGTTTCATTGCAGCCATTTGCTAAAATCAAAAAAGTTCATTTTATTTCTCATTAATGTACACTCAGCACCCCATCTTGACAGAAAAAAACAGAAATGTAGAAATTTTTGCAAAT